AGTAAACTGGTGGCGATTTAAAAGGAGCTACCTGCCAAGGACCTGCGCATACACAGCGACAAGGACTGACGGGACTGACTGGCGGTTTAATCAAGCTAGCCACATGCAAGCAAGCGGCGACGAGCCATGATTCTGGTTCTGCGGATTCGGATTCGGATTCTGATCGCTACTCAGCTCCTCGTTACCAGGCAAGCCATCTACGAGGCACTGCAATACCAAGACCATGAGAGGTAAACACAACGCGAAGGACGAACAACGAGGCGGATACGTAATACAGTGAAGGCTCAAAAGCATTTACTATCTATTAGAGATTAATCAAAGAGAATGATAATCCAAGAGATAATAAAGAAGCTTTAAATTTACTTAAAATTATAGTATTTATATTCTTTCCAAAATTGAACTGTTAGCGAACCTTCACTGTACTCTGTTCCGAGACATGAGCATAAGCTTCCTGGTTGGGTGATTAATGACTATTCATGCGTCTAAAGGGACTTTGCTGCACCTTTGGTTAAATACTGGATATTGCGGACTCACCTGCTGCATGTTCCTCCACTGGCCGGTGGAATCGTATTCGATGTCATTGTGGGCCATGTCATTGCCATACAGATTGAACTGATTCGCCTGGCTGGGATTGGCCTGATCCGAGGGCTGGGCGGGGGTTTCGGTGCCATAGAATATCATGTCCCATTGTGTGATTTGTGCTGCAACGTAGAGTAAGAAGTCGTATATAAATACATCAGTATAAAACATATTCAAAAATAAAATCGAAAATATCTATACAGACAAAATCAACACAACAGCTATAACGAAAAAATGTTATAAAATGCATGATATATATTTTGGAAGACTGCTGCTGGACAAGCAAGTCAAGTGAAGGGCCAATAAATCTGCCACATGAGCGAGATCAAGTGCCGAAAGCTAATCGCAACTCTCACAACAACAGGATAAAAAATGAAAAATTGTTGCTGCTGGACACCCCAGGCAGTAGCAACTAAAAAAATATATCCGAAAAAGCATTTTAAAGTTGCACTTTGATTGATGAAAGCAACAAGAAAGTGCCACTCGCCGGCTGTCAAACTTTTATTGACGGCTGCCAGCGGGCGGGGTAAAAAATCATAAAACACCAAGCGGGTAAAAAAGGGTTTTCTGAAATAAAGAGCACTTTACGGGGGATTCCCCCACGGGTATGACACTTTCATTAAACACAACTGATATGCCACAACATGAATTTGTTAAATGAATTAATTTTGTATAGAATAATGTGCATTTTCTATAGATGAAAATATAACCTAATTATGAAAGTGTCACACCCTTTGGAATCATTATAAAAACCATAAATTTAAATCAAATCCTTCTACGAAAAAACCAAAATTAGAAAATTCTCAAAATTTGGCTACCACTTGGTCCATTGCCCTCCTTGCGCTGTCCCCTTGGCTGCTGCTCCTCGTAGTCGGGTGTGGCGGGTACTTCCTGCATTTCCAGTTCCACCTGGGCGGGTCCCATTACCCCGGCGGCGGCCATCAGCAGTTGCTGCTTCTTCAGGATCTTTTGGTCAGGCAGGAAGCTACTTCCGCCGGCTGGCAGGATGGGCAAAAGGGGGACGGAGGCCATGGTTTGGGAGGGCGGCGGCACTGATGGTGACTTCTTCGTGTTGCCCTGACGGGTATTGCCCCCGGTGGTGGGTCTAAAGAGTTCCACCTCAAACTGCTTGCCCGGCTTGGCTTGCTTGGTCTTGCCCTTGGGCGAACTGCTCTCGTAGGGTTCCAGTTCCGGAAAGATGGCCTGGATCTTGTCGTAGCGCTCGAAGAGCATGGGGATGCGGGCATCCGACGAGGATGAGGATGAGGTGGTGCTCTCCTTCACTTGCTTGGCTGCCTTGACGGAGCCATTGGATCCGGAAGTAGATCCAGAGGATGCGGATATCTCGCCCACCACCTTGCGGCTCTTCTCGTCGTATGACTTCTCACCGGAATTGGCCTTGGGTCTGGGTGTTTGGACTCCATTCCTGTCCTGCTTGTTTCCCTTGGACTGCTGCTGCTGCTGGGAGATGCGGTAGTACTTGTTCTTGCTGGTGGTGTTCTGGACGGTGGTGCTCGGCGTGGTCTGCTCCTTGCGATTGCCACCCGATCCTCCGGACTTGCCCTTATTACCATTGTTAGCCTTGTTCCCCTTGTTATTGTTCCTCTCCTTATTATTGTTGTTGGCCTTGCCGTTGGCCTTGCCCAGAATGACTCCGTAGGTGGCCGAAATCTGCTGGTAACCCTGCTTGGGTGGGGCAGGATTCAATAGGGGATTGTTGGTCACAAAGCTGGACTTATTCGGAGGCGGCAGTTTGCCCAGCGGCAACTTGGCACCGCCGGAAGGTGAGTTGCCAAAGTTATTGGGCGGAATGCGGGGATATTGCGGGGAATAGGCCTGATGGAGGTTGCTAGTGGTGCTGCTGGTATTGGCCGTGGTGGCCTCCGAGCCACTTGGCCGCGGCACCGAAATCGGATCATTCGGATCGATGCTCTGAGTGGTGCCGTAGAAGATCAGCGACCATTCCCTGAGCAGAGCATGGCCTGGTGGATTTATTATGATGCATTACATGAGATTGGGTGAGGTACGTGTTGGGTGGAGATGGATGGATCGAAGGTGAGTTCCACAAAAGCGCAGCATGTAAAACAGTACAGGTTTAAAGCATCTCTCTCAGACGGCACTAGTTCGGAATTGCTTTTAACTATTTGCAGTGGTTGACTTAGACTTACCCATGTAGCGACCCTCGTTGTGGATCTCCAGCTGCCAGTTGCCGCGCGGGGATTCACCCCAGGTGTGCACCGACATGAAGGGCCACTGATTGAAGCCGGAACGGGAGTTGTCATGGATTCTGGGAAAGAAGTGGAAAGGAGTTTATATTAAATCAAAGTCAGAACATTTTTGTATTTGTAGCTTAAATTACAAGTCTTCTTAGCATTCATTCTAAAAAATAACAAGGAATTACTTAAACTAAATATTCTTACTCCTGGTATACTGTTAGCTAACCTGCAAATATTTATACGAAGAGAGCGTGGATTATCTTTTAATATTTAACTCTTAATTTCAAACATTAAATTGTGATACTTCTAATGCGTTATTTTTTGGTGATATATACTGAAATTTCTGCTTGTTATTAATGAGTAAAGTTTTTTCAATACAAAAAAGGGTATGTTCAATTGAAATTTATAACTTTTCAGCTTTTTACCGACTGTATTTTAGATTCTTGTTTTTCCCTAATACAGTTTATAAAGTTTATGTGATATTTGAATATATATTTAGTCAGTCAGTATCTTACCTTGGAGTAAGAAGCGTGACACTGGTGTTGGCAGGTGATCTCAAGTACAGCTGAATATCTCCGCGTCTCTGAGAGGTAAGTGTGATCTTGGCCTGGACGTGCTCCAGATAATTGACCGATCGGCAGTGATTCACCGTCAGCTGCAGTGTGATATGAGTGCGGGGAGGAATGACCCTAAGAGAAATACAAAAGCAAGACGATAAATATACTATCAAATAGAAAAAACTAATTTCCTCCTACTTGTCCACATGCGGGGCATTGATCTCACAACGCTGCTGCTCCGGCACCGTCTTCCAGGATCGTGCCACACGCACCATCTCGTAGGCGTCCATCAGGCCGTAGCCGAAGGAGTGGCTCACCCGCCGGCCCACCCCGTTGCGCGACCAGCTGGGATCCTTGAGGTTCGCCGGCTTGGCGGTGCGCACCACAATGTGCTGCAGATCGCGCCAGGTGAGATTCTGGTTTGACTGCAGCACCAAAGCCGCAATGCCAGCGGCGAGCGGGGCCGACGCCGAGGTGCCCGTGTGGGAGACAGTGCACGAGTGATGCAAATCCGTAGTGACCACCTGCTTCTCGCCCGGCCCGCCGCTGCTATAGGTGGTGGCCAGCGTGGAGCTGCACTTCTCCGAGTACCAGGGCACATGGCCCTCCTCGGTGGCGCTGGAGATGGACAGTGTCCAGATGGAGTTTGTGTAGCCGTCGCAGTTGCAGTTATCCTGCTCCCGACCCCCGTTTCCAGAGGCCCAGATAAAGATGCTGCCCTTGCCGCCGCGTCCCTTGGTCGTGCCCTCGATGAAGGCCCTCGAGGCCAGTTCGCCGGGTCCGTCAACGGTCTTGCCATCATCATCGGGTCCCCACGATGCGCTGTATATGTCGATGTGTTGAGGATTCAGGGAGAGGGATCGTGCCTCTACGGCATCTGTGACATCGCCGTCCAGCATCCGCACTCCACCCACGCTGGCTCCATAGGCAATGCCCACCGCACAGAAGGAGTTGTTGGCAGTGGCAGCCACCTCACCGGCACAGCGCGTGCCATGGCGATTCGAGTCCGTCATGTCGTAGTGCGGCATGGGATCATCATCGTGGCTATTTACATCATACGAGGCCTTGCGATCCTGTTTTGGAATGGTAAATTTAATGGGTAATTAGAGTTTGTTTGTCCTTTATATGAAACCTTTCCACAACTTACGTAATTCTGCTCTATATCCGGATGATCAGACTCGAGGCCATCGTCCAGAATGGTCACAACCACGCCCTTGCCGGTAATGCCCTGCTTCCAGGCGGGTATCACATTCATGTCCAGTCCACCACCGCGGTTCTGTTACAAGATTGATTATAAATAATATATAATGATCTTGAGAAAGAAATGCATGGTTTATGTTAGCCCACTCACCAAATACCACATCTGCGGCCACTTGGCATCGTCAAAGGGCATGGCATCCACCTGCGACATGGCCCTCGATGAAGTCCTCGATGGTCGCATTCGGATGAAGTCACGCTTGGAGCGCGACTTGGCTCGCTGCTGCTTCGCCCAGTGGACACGATCATCGTCATCGAGTCGCGTCTGGTGATGCGTGGCGGGGGAAAGCGACCGCTTCGAGACCTTGTGATGTGCAAAGTGGTAATGATCGTCGAAGATCTATAAAGAAACAGAAAAACAAATGGTTTTATTATAAATATTTCATATAAAGTAGTCTCTGAATTTAAAGTTCTAGAAACACTTTTAGAAATAATAGAATAATAGAAAAGGGGTGTAATTATTTCAAAACTTAAAACCATGTCTGGCGGAATGGGTGGCTTTCGTAAGCTGGCCAATAAGCTCTTTACTCCCAACGAAATTAGCCGCTTTCAGGCCTACAAGAGTCGCTTCAGTCAAAAGTATTTAAGTATGGAGGGTTTGAAGTCGAACTTCAAGAAACCGGATTTAGGAAAGCTATTGAATTATCGTGTGTTTTCGACCAAAAAACAAGGTAAGTAGTAACTATATTTTAAGCCGTAGTAGTAGTTGTTCTTAAGTTAGGGTTAGAAGGTAATTCATCCCATATTGCATGAAGAAGAGGGTTTTATACTATTTTATTTCTTATGCCCACAGAGTGTGACAAGGAGTCTAAAGCCGAGCCCGAGTGCGATCCCAGTTGGGATGAACTCTTTCCCAGGGGACCGCCCTATGAGCCCCGGAATACCCATTATTGGTATCCAGATCCCGAGTATCTAAATGACTACGAACACGTTGTGATGTATCCCACCGGCGACCAGTGGAAGCAAAGACCCAAGATGACGGGAAAACAGATCCCGCCGGTGGATCGTACCTTTCGCACCAAGTTCATTAACTTTGGACCCGCCCATCCGGCGGCCCATGGTGTACTCCGCATGATCCTGGAGTTGGACAATGAGACGGTGCTTAACGCCGATCCTCACATCGGTCTGCTGCATCGTGGCACCGAGAAGCTAATTGAGTACAAGACCTATGTCCAGGCTCTGCCCTATTTCGATCGCTTGGACTATGTCTCGTGCATGGCCAATGAGTTGGCCTATGCTCTGGCCGTGGAGAAGCTCCTGAATGTGGAAGTTCCTCGGCGGGCCAAGTACATACGCACCATGTTCTCGGAGATAATGCGACTGACCAATCACACCATGGCCATAGCTTCCTCCGTTTTGGATTGCGGAGCCATCACGCCGCTCTTCTGGCTCTTCGAGGAGCGTGAAAAACTATACGAGTTCTCGGAGAGAGCCTCGGGGGCACGGCTACATGCCGCCTATATACGCCCAGGAGGCGTGGCCTCGGATATTCCACTGGGGTTCTGCGATGATCTGTACCAGTTTTGTCAGCAATTTGGCGATCGCCTGGATGAGGTTGAGGACGTGGTGACCGATAATCGAATCTGGCGGATGCGTAACATTGGAATCGGAGCAATCTCTGCCCACGATGCCCTTAACTGGGGATGCACTGGACCCGTTCTGAGGGCCTGCGGCATAAAGTGGGATTTGCGAAAGCAGCAGCCTTACGATGCCTACGGAGAACTGGACTTTGATGTGATTGTGGGCTCCAATGGGGATTGCTACGATCGGTATCTGGTGCGGATTCGCGAGATGCGCGAGTCCATCAACATCATCGAACAGTGCATCCAATCCATGCCGCCGGGCGAGATCAAGGTGGACGACATGAAGATAAGTCCACCGCAGAGGCGCAGCATGAAGATGGGCATGGAGGAGCTGATCCATCACTTTAAGCACTTCTCGCAGGGCATCCATGTGCCGCCGGGACAGACGTACACCGCTGTGGAGTCACCCAAGGGTGAATTTGGTGTGTATCTCATCTCTGATGGCTCAACGCGTCCATATCGTTGCAAGATCCGTCCAGCTTCCTATGCGCATTTGGCTCTCATGTCCAAGATCGCACCCACACACATGCTAGCAGATGTGGTGGCCATCATTGGGTCCCTGGACATAGTCTTTGGTGAAATCGATCGTTGATTTGTAATAATTTTCAGAATTTCTAGACATTTCAATGGGTTTAGCATTAAAGGCATGAGCTTGAGCCACATAAATATTAAGAAACAACGGAATATTGTTTATTTTAATAATTTATTTAATAGTTATAAATTAAAAAAAGGTGTCTAGCTTCGGGTAACTGAAATATCTATAACCTTTCATTGAAAGTATGTCATAACTCAGTCAAAATTGCATTTATTTCAATTCGGAAAGTTCTTCTGTGCTAGTTTTTATAGGGCTAAGAAATCTACATACTCGGTTTTAAGATTTTAAGGTTTGAATTTTTAATCAAATTTTGACAATTTTAATGATGTAACCCCTTATAAAATTTTCGAATTTTGCAAAAGAAATTCAAAAATTTAGTTTTTAACCGGCTGTTGATTCTGATCAAGAATATATACGGTTTATTGGGACGGAAATAACTCCATCATGTCGCTACAAACTTCTGACTGAAATTATAATACCCTGCAAGGGTATCAAAAACCCTCTTCTCATTTATTTTGAGTGTAAAAAGCAGCGCATAGAAGCCCTTTCGCATTCTCCCTAAGCCCTAGAGTGAGTGTAATTAAAATAGGAATTTATTATTTTTGAAATTTATGCGAAATTGTTCTGATTTACTGACGCATGACATAAGCCGGCTCCATATTCTCTCCATTCTCTCTGACCAGGCAAACAGCACTGTTGGTGTCCCCTTTTGTTGTTAATTGAATTTCATTGTGCGAAATTCTTTGGCAAATTGCAATTTAGGAACAACGCGCACAAATGCCGGCTTCAGGTCGAACAATTTTGCAATTACAATTGCCATTAGTTGTGCGTTGGCAGCAGGGACAGGACATGCAGGCTAAGTTATGGCAACTATTGGTCCATGAAGTTATGCGGCATTGTTGTGGCCTGCCGGAGAATTTCCAGTTATTCCTGAGGTGAATATGATGCATTCCTTGCGAGTGCAGGAGGACAGATAGTGACAGGTAAAGGATGCCAGGTTATACTGAATATGTATATGTGCCCCTTTCATGTGCACTTGGCCAGCAAAACTTGCGCTTGGCTGCTGCTTAATTGTAAATGTAATTTCGCCTTCGTGGTCCCCAAAACAGGCGTCATTAAGGGCCATGGCAACACCAGCGGCAGCGTTGCCACACTGAGTTTGGGACAGGGACAGGGACCTCAGGTAAACGCATGAAAGTATGCAACACAATTTATTTATGCCCACAGCAGGATGTTGCCGTCGATTTGGCAACAGCGAAAGAGGCTGTTTGCCAGCATCCTGTTTCTCTTTTTTGTTTCTATTACTATGGCAACGTGTTCTGATTTTCTTCTTAGCTCACTTAACTCAAAATAAATCAATTAAATAATATTCTAATATAATATTCAACAGCAAATTGAAATAGAGATTTGAAAACTCTTTAAAATGTATGACAAGAAATGTAGTTTCAAATCTCCAAAACCCTTACCTCAAAATTGGAACATCCCTAGAATGTCTTTTTTGGTTTGTATGTGTTTGTCGTGAAATTCGAGCCGTTGACTGGCACAGGATGATAGTAGAGGCATATGTGCACTTGCCACTTGCCACTTTGCCACATCCTCCGCTTGGATCCTGTCACGGCTGGGCGACTACTAAAATTTTAATTGCTGCTACTCTCTGTGTACGTGTCGTCGCCCGGCGCTCAAAGCTCGTTTAGTTTTTATGCCCGTTGAGTGGTGCCACCCCCAACTTCCGCCCCGCCCACTATCAAGTTTATTAATTTATGCAACACACACACACACACACACACACACTTTTGGATTTGTTTACTTGCCGCCGCCTGCTCTTATGCATATGCAATTTTGTCCAACATTTTAATTGAGTTGGGTGGCCAAGTTAAATTAATACTTCGCACACAGGGAGTGACTTTATTATTGCAAAAAAAAGGAGGGCAAAAAAAGATCAGCTTAGGTTTAATTGTTTTGTTGCGGTTTCAATTAAAATTGACTCCGCCCCAATCAAGCTTAAGTGCTAAAATGGAAACGGAAGTCCTGTGGCCAGGATATTAACTTTTACAAGCCATTTGCCAAGGCCCAGAGCACACATCAAGCTAGATAACACGATATGGCAGATGCACAGGAGAGTTATATAGATAAATGGGTTTAATGAAAAGGAAGGAAACCGTAAAACCTGACACGGAAATATGAATATGTATATATATATATTTATATGAAATCTTAGTAGAGTATTGCCTTAAGCGATTTTTTTACCAGATATCTTGGTAATTCTACCTCCACTTTAGACAGCTTACCGCAAGCAGCTAATTTTCTAGTGCATTTGTCGACAACAGCAAAAAAAAAATGCTGACAATGTGACACAAAAAAAGTCAATAAAACCATGGCAGCAGTTTGGGGAAATGTTAAGCTGTGAATAATGCCCTCTCCATGGCAGCTTTTAAAATTGTCAACAATTTAATTAATCAACTTGGGGGGTGCAGCCCAACCAAGACGTCTGATGATTGTGCGGGGGTTCTGATAAATGGCTAAAAGGGAGCAGGCGTCGATGCGGGGAGTGGCTACCAGGTTAGGGGACCACAACCCTCGACTTGAATGACGTTTAAAATATGCACATGAAACATTTATAAATATAATGTTTTATATTACATACTATTTAAGGCTTTAAAGCGTCTCAATGTGCTCAATTGCAAATGAAAGTGGTTAATTTTTTATGTCCCCAGTGACGGCTGCTGCCTCGGGGCAGACGGAAACGAAAGCAGGAACAGAACAGGAACAGGACCAGCACCAGGTGACAGCTAGACAGGAAGGAAGGCCTGTATAAATATGTGCGCCATTTCATTAGCTGCTAATTAATTTAGCCCGCATCCATGCACTCCACAATCCACACCTTAAACCATACACCGCGAGGCGGAGGCAAAGGAAATGCAGTTTGGATTTTCAATTAAGTGGGAGGAAGTGATGGGGATGGATGGGGTTGTGCGATTCCCCGGTTGTACGCTGGCAAAATATTACAAAGTGTTAAGAGCGATGACAGGTGCAGAGGCCCGAAGCACCTGAGCGGTGTTCGTAGGTAAAAACTACGAGAGCTGTAAGCTGTCACCCAGCGAAGGGAGCTGTGAAAGATGTCAACGCCAGAGCAAAGGTAGCACTTGGTGCGGGGATTCCCACATTCAAAAAGGTTAAACATAATTCACAGAGAAATATGTAAATAGAAACTTCTAAAACATCAGGGAATTGTTATTGCTTCTTGCCAAGTTTCCTCTATTTTACATTATGCTATTAACACATTTAACCATCCATTACCCTCTTAAACTCTTTATAATTTCTATATCTTCCTGTATAAATAAGTGTCTAGTAATCGTTGAAAAACCCCTCAGAACAATATCTATGAGAATTTCCATTTAGGTTTTCAGTTTTTGTTTACTTTCTAATGTTGGCATACTAATTCATACATCCATAAATTATACATTCATAAAATTTCAGGTAGTTATTCATAGTTTTTTTTTGTTTTTCTTTTTTTAAATCAAAAACGATCGTTAGTGTTTTAGTGTACCGTCTGGCTAATCCTTCCTCAAAATGTCTTTGATCCTGCTGTACACCCTTTGTCTGGCTGTTCTAGTTGGCGTTCTTTTTGGCCAATAAAGCGAATGCTGCTGGCCATAAACAGGTGAGTGATTTTTGTTTTTGTACACCAAATGTTTAATCCTTTCGAGCCCAGGAGAGAGAGAAACCGTTTGGCTTTGGTGCCCGTTGCTCCGCAACATGTTCAGCCTGTGCCCTATGATCCCTTGGAGACATCCTCCTGGCACAAGGGCATTCGCTCTCACATCCGTTACTTGGCGCAATATGTTCATGTACCGCCGGATCTGGATGAGGGCGGTATGCCGGAGGAGCTGCATTGCCATATGCTGGTCCTGGCCATGCTGCAGGATCTCTTTCGAAAGGGACGACTGCAGAGACCCACTGTGGATGCCACGGAGTCCTCCTCGGACATGGGTCCAGTTGCCGGTCGTGTTCGGGACTAGAATTGCTCTGATGATGAGTAAGGGAAGAACATCCTTCTCGTTGGAGGAAAAGGAAATGGCTGCATTTTGGGATCATCAACATAATCACACATTTCCCCGCCTGTACTAAATCGATAGCCTAATAATCATATCGTGGGTTTTACTCCCCAATAGCATTTTTAATTGCTAAACCTTCTCTTAATTTCATTAAACACACACCCAAGGAGTCCCCGAGTTCCTTTCCTCGTAGGAATAGGTGTATATTTGTTTCTGCATATATGTAATACTAAAAACTTAAATTTCACAATTTCAAACTTAAATTCTTGCTTGTTCCAAGTGATTTCCCGTTGATCCCCGCAGCTTACATGTTTTTGTGGCACTGGCTTCTCCCATAACCATGTCGAGGCAGTTGTTGGTCCAATAATGTTTGTTATTTGCATATGTCTACATGTACATCGCCTTTTGTTTCCCTCGTCACCACAACGATGCCATAAAAATACAAAAAAAAAGTAAACTGTGCTCCCCGTTGTAAGTTTTCCTGGTGGTCTGGCGTTTTGCTTAAAATATTTATAGAAAATGGCGACAATTTGCGCCAAACAATTGCAGTTCAGACCAAAGTCGAGCCACCTCAGTGCTCCACGCACTTTGCATTGCATATTTATGGTTTTCTGTTTGCCTTGGGTCCTGGCTGTTCGACACAAACAACAACTGAGTCAGAAATGGAATAACATTTTATCCATAGGTCAGACTTCATAATGATCCTCCCTCCTTTCCGTACCGGTGCATTAGGATTGAAATGGGCTAGTGGCCTCAGGATACATTTATGGGTTGGATAAACAGAAACAGAGTGAAAAACACTCCTTAGCACCCACACATACACGCACCCCACAAGGTGTGTCCTGCCAGCACGAAAAATCTACCCTCTGGTCGAAAAAAATAAACAAATCTCTTCTTGAAACCCGAAAAATACATAATTGTTTCCATGGGAGAGATTGTGTCTATCACCGGGTTTCCCCTTAGTATTTTCTCGTATTTTTCTCGCACTGCCAATCAGGTAAGGCAACCCTTGGATGGCTGAAACTGTCCCCTGTGGATGGCTTTTGGGTAAATGTTAGACACAAAAGCCCAAAGGCCGAGGGTAGTAGAATTCCGAAAATTTAATAAGACAGGAGATCAGCTGTTGTAAATTTTTCGCCCAGCAATTTCTCGGTTCTTTTTATGGCAATTGGGGGAGCAATAGATATCTTTTCGCAAATCTGTATCTTATGGGGGTTGATACGGAAAGCACTTACCCTTTGCAAAGGACCTTCGACCATAGCCTCAAACTACAAATGTCTTAATGGAGATGGCAAGATATTTGATGGAAAATGATGAGACAGTTTCGGGTTTCAACAGGGGAAGAAATTAGGAAAAGTTTTCATTGCGATAACATTATATTTGCCAAATGCTTTCCATTATTTGTAGGGAGATGTAGCAGAGAGAATATTATAGCAGCAGAAACTCTTCTTTCACTACTTATATCTCAAGTATAAATAATTGATAAATTGTTTTCTCTGTGGCACAGCCACTGCAAATAAAATATATAATTTCACTTTGCTTTATTGATTTACCGCTCTCGTGATTAACGATTCAGTTGCATGCGAAAAATGTCTTAAATGAATGCGGAAATATAATTGTATGCACACGCATACATACCTCACTTCACTTCGCATTTTATTGTTCAAAATTAATTGAAAAAGGAAATAATTTCGATATTAAATTATGCGGCAAAGCGTGGCTGTGAAATATTAATGACAATGACAGCAGCAACAGCAACAGCAGGACGCATCCATTTGGCGACAAATGTGTTTTGTTTTAATTGATGCCACACTCAATGGCCTCCGATCGGTTGGAATCGTTTAACTATTTAACCGCGAAGCCATTTGATTGTTTACAATTCGCATTCATAGTTCCCCACATGAATTGACATGAATTTCTGTCGTATTACAATTCATGGGAAAACGATCAAAGGTGGCTTAAATCGGTCAGCAATGTCCTTAAATCTGACTGCCAAGCTGAGTTCTCTAGGACCTTCTTCTGGAGTGATGGCCACCGAGTGGCCACTTGTCTCGAAAAGTTGTTGAACGAAGCCCAAGAGCTGGCTCAGCTGGCAGTCGAGTAAACAAACGACATCCGAATCCCACTGCTCCTCCTCTTTTTTATTTTCACAAAAATGTACATTCGCCTGTAATATATGGCAGTGTGTGGAATTTGACGAATCACTTTCAGGGACCCTGCACTGATTCCAAAAAAGAGAGCAAAAAAGAAAGAGTTGTTGCGGCCTTAAAGCGGATCCTATATTTGACCCATGACCGAGGCCAAATAAAGGACCTCCATTTGCATTGCGGAAAAGAGAGCGACGTGAGGCCGCTGTTTAATAAAGGAAAAAAAGAGGAAGGATAAAGTACGAGGCAGAGGGATCGCCTTGGTCATTCCCAGTCTTGGGTAAACCTGCATGTCCTTTGGCAAACAGCCGGGGCACAGCAAACGAAATTTATTGGCTTTCGTGGGGGTTGGGCGCAAAAGGATGCCAAAGTCGGGTCCTTCTTTGGTCCTTTCGCTGGCCGCCGCTCTGCCCGAAAATTAACCAACAAAAAAAAACCAATTGCAATGTTTTTCCTTGTGGAGCTTAAGATAAAATTCTGATATTAAAATGGGAAATAATAACGATGTTTTAATAAATAAATTCTATAATGAATTATTTACTTTAGACATGTGTAATTGAATCCTCAAATTCCTAATTTAGAAACCAAAACTTGGATTAATGAATTACATGATGTATTACATTTCCAAAAAAGTTACACAATTCAGGGGGTTTCCTTAATTTTTTTTTTTGGGAACTCAGCAGAGCCTCATTAACCGCACTCGAAACCCATTCACAGCTTCATGGATAGTACAGACAGCACAGACACTCGGAGATCCAAATGCAATCGAGGAATTTCCAAATATTTTTGCATTTCAAGTGCCGGCATCAGCAGTTGCACTCGCATGCAGATGAGATGTGACCAGGGGAGAGGGGAGAGTTTTAAGGGATTAAGAGGGTTGAGAGGGTTGGGAGGGTTGAGCGGATGGAGGTGGGAAAATGAGTGCTTGTTGGATGCATTGGCCTTTGTCGGGAAATTGATTGCACTTGCTGTTGTCTGCTCGGAACTCCGGCAGTCGGCTTGGCCATCGTCTGATGTTGATGATGGCCCCATTTGGTTGAGTAATGATGCCACTTGCTACCGACTACCGAATTTCGACTACCCAAGTAGGAGTAGGAGTTGAAGTTGAAGTCTCGTTGCAACCCAAATCGATTTGGTGCAGCCCGCATCTGAACCGGATTTCCACATCTTCCCGGAAGCCGCCTTTTAGTTTTTCGTAAATGAAAATGCGAAATTTGTTGCCGTTTGCCGCTGCTCCGTCGTCCATCGTTGTCGATTCTTTTGTCTCTTTGGGAAATCAAATTGATTCGTTAGGTTGGCAATCTGTCGCTTGTTAGGCCAAATTGATTGAAATTAGGTTTAGATCCCTAATCCCCTCCCCCCTCTGTTCTGGGATTTTGTAGCCTGGTAATTGCTTTCGATTCTGCCCTCTGTCCCCTCTGCAGTTTTGTTCTCATTAGGTGCGCTCTCCCTCAAAGGAATGCAAAGGAATAGCCCCAACTACAGATGCACAAAACGGAAACGGAAACGGATATAGGAAGGATCCATGCAATATGCGAAAAATATTTGAGAAATTCTGCATACTTTGGTAGCTTCTCCTAGCTGGAGGGGGCTCTCCTGGGGAATCAGGACTATTATTGCACCTTGAAGTCGGAAATTCCTTACGGGTGATGACATGTGATATGTACTGTTGGCATTCAAGTGTGTAAATGAAAATCGAAGAGTGTAGGTTAAATAACTTGGATGCCAGTAAATCAAATATGTTTTATAATATTTGCAGATAAAGTGCTAGCTTTGGATTCTTTTTAAAATTATTTAAGGGTTTAAGTTTAAGGAATTTTCTTAGCATATAAATAAGCAATTAAGTATTGCCTCTAGGTGTTGATGTTTTGACTGTATGATTACGGTTATATATATATATTATTTATACACCTTATTTTCAGGGTTTCTCTGTACTTCAACCTCTCTTTCCCTCCGGGTTAAACTATTTTCGTAGCCACCTTCGATGGGGCCATGACACAAATTGACTTCGACATCAGGAAAAACAACATCAGGTGCGCCAGATGCGAGGGAGGAGTCTGAGATGGTAAGGGTGGGATATATATACATATATATATATATATATTGTACACACCATATACCATATATAACATATATATGTATATATAGCATAGTATAGCAATAACAATAATCATAAATACAGACTGCGAAGGGTTGCAGGTGGCACGTGTCAATGCAGGTCAGAGGTCCCTCAGAAAATATCTGGAATAACGCATGTTCAAGTCTGAGGTATCCACTCGACTCCCCACTTTAGGCACTGAGTGGGTTTTTCTTTTTTTTTTTGCTCTGATGTTTCTCTAGAGTTCAACCCATGGGAATTCCATTTCAGTTCATACAATTGCTAATGGGGTTTCAAGGAGACGACGACAAGTCAGGCCCAAAACATTTTGTTTTTACCTCAAAGGAAGCTCTAAAAAAGAAGGCTATAGAAGAACTCTGCACAAGAGTTTAATTAATTTCTCCACATTTCTTGAGACAAAAGTTTTTAGACTACTTTCTTGAAAAACGGCACGGTAACTCTCCATAAAAACTTCTTAATAACTATAATAATTTTAATTTTTTTTCTTTAACTTTAACGTAAAAACTATTTCGAAAAAATCAATTCACACTTCACTGAACTTTTTTCTTGTTGCAGTTTGGCAGCAATTTTAAAACGCTTAAGAACGTAAAAAACAAAGCTCAAGGAAAAATTTGCACAAAGTCTTTTGCCAAGTTCGTGCTCTTATTTTTTTGCAACTTGTTTCAGTTCGAGGCAAGAGCTCGTCAGAAGTTAAATTACTTTAAACTTATGCATGGCAAAGAATGTAATTGTTAGTGAGCGAAAAAAGCTAAAAACTTTTCCAACAAAGGAACAATTAATGACGCAGGAAAATGAAAATGAAAATGAGGAGTAGTGGGAGGTAATGGAAAACTGCCAGAGAATATGTTGCAGTTTAAGAC